CTTTAACGTTTATAATCTATATGGAATGGATTTTTGCAGAATAAGATTAATGGTCCCTGGAACCCTGCACTTTTCTACCCTGTGTAACACCGGATCCCTGAAGTTCCACATGGAAGTTATCCCAGCACTGATAGCAGTTACTTGGATATGTCAAGGCTTGCAAATAGGCTGCCTGGCAGCAGCAGTTAAGGGGCATCTCAGCAACTATTCTCGCAGAAGAGTCCCACCGCATGGTGACTCATCGGTGATACATGAATCAGCATATATATATCAGCTCTTATGTTTAGGATCAGGTGATGATAGAATAATTTATTTGAACAATGACTGATGGACTGCAGAGAGAAGTAGGTCATATGAACACTGCAGGAAAGACAGTTTGTACTGGGTGGATATATATGGAATAAAGCATTGCGTATGGCCGAAGACTGATATCAGTTGCATTCTTTGGAGATCAAAATAAAAGTTCTTAGTCCTACAACATTTCCTCTCTGAACTTCTATGAAAGAAAAACTATAAAGAATGACAAGCACTCTATTATTTTTTTAAAAAATCACTGATTGAATGCCGTCGTTATTTTAGTAGTTTTACACTGCCATCCTAAGCAGTGTAATCCTAAGGCATCCATTTAACACCACTGAAGTTAATTGGCCTAGGAGGGTATAACTCTGCTTAGGATGCTGCTGTTACAGTGCAATCATGTGCGGAGTTGCTGTAGTCTAAGCCTATTAGTTTCAGTGGTACTTAGACTGGAGTTACGCTGCAGAGGATTGCACAGTGATAGTACAATTCTGAGGGGGGGGAGAGTGTTCAGGAAGCTGACCCCCTACTACCACTGGCACATTTGCTGCTAGTCAGACCCTTGCCAGCTGGCCAGGTGGGCATCCTGTCCACCACACGGTGATGTGGGTGATAAGGGGATGCTCAGGCCACGTTTCTTTATTGGGATTGGGCTGTCGCTGGGTCTTTTCTCTCTGTCCTCTGGCACTCGGGGGGGGGACGATTGGTGTGGAGAGTCAGTGGCTGCATCAGCAGGCACTGGTTGGCTATGTGTACTACTCAGAGGGACATCATTGGATGCTACTGCCTAATTGGTGGGTGTTGTCAGGATTTCTGTGGACTCCAGTGTGCTCACAGTACAGCCCTGTGCCTTGTGGAGGGGAGTGTGTTGTTCCCCATTGCTGACTGTCCATAGGGATCTGACCAGCAATGCCACTATTACACTGGCAGCTGACCACCTCTGCCAAGCCAGCCTTCAGGATTGCATTGCCTGATTCTTACTATTGTCTTGCTTGGTGTTGGAGCAACAAGGAAGTCCCCCTAGCCTTTGCTTCATGAAGAAAGAAGCACGATGTTATAATAGCATTTGATCATTGTTCTCACAAGCCCTTGTCAGTTTATAATGTATTTGCTTTTAAACTTGAAGCCTGATCCTTCATGCAAGTAATTTTGTATTTGTTAACTTATGTGGGGCTTAGCCGAGTAGGGTTTGCACAGTTACATCAGATCATATTCATTTTGCAAAGTATTTTTATTTTCTAAAATGTTGGTTACAAGTAACCGTAGTGCCTTTATATTTAGATTTAATTTAATTTAACCCTTTGAGCATCGCACACGAGCAGAGACCACCACCCCCGAAAAAGTGGCCATCCAACAAGCTGTTCCTGATATACAGGGCAACTTCAAGAGTGGCCTCCAGTACAACATACTGGACTGTAGTGGTGATGGAGTGAGAAGCCTTTTTATGGCTTACATTGTATCTAGCATGAGCTCAGCAGTGGGGGTGATTCGGTGAACTTCCCTCCTCTCATTGCTGCCTGCTATATGTCAGCTCGCTGCCATAGGGTCTGGTATGGGGGGGTGGCGCTGCTTGGAATGTTTTTGTTTCTGTTCTCTGGCTGTCCAGGTGATGCTCCTTTATCTAAATGTTTTATGTGCCTGATCTTGGTTCCTAGCTGTAACGTCTTCTCTGGGAACAAGGGGCCATTAGTTTCTGGCATGCCCTTTCTTATTCCTTGATTGGTTCCGTCACCCCTTTCAAACCTGTATATCTATTCACCCTGCGCTTTGTGCTTTAGTCTTAACACAGAATCGGAAGTAGAGATGGCCTGCCAATACTGTATCATAAACTTTCCTTCTGAAGAGCGAGTTGTTGAGTTTGATTGTTGCAGGAGTCTGACACTATAGCCCCTGAAATTGTGCCTACATACATCAGTGGATCCCCATCAATGGGTACGGAGGAAATTACCCCACTCTTTTCTGCTGGCAGAAGAACATGGTTAGGATGTAATCCTGGGTATGGAATCCTTTGTACTTTGCATGAAAGAATTCTGTGGATTTTAGATCAATTTCTGATGGAATTGAAGGATTGCTAAAGAACAACAGGGTGGTTGCAGAGAAGCTGAATGAATCATTTGCAGGAGTCTTCTCTGTGGGAAGCGTCAGAACTGCAATTTTCTGGAAGGATGGCTAAAGGACTGGGCTAGTTAGAGAGATGAGATGAAGTTTTAGGGCTCATACTCAAAAACCTGCAAAAGGTTGGTAAGGCAGGAAATTTCTCTACAACCGCCATGCTGATTATTTCCGCAGTAGGGCTGCTTTTATAATGTAGGTCTTTAATAGTGCTTTCCACCAATTTACCAAGAACAGACAGACTATTAGGGCTTTCAGAATGACTTGGAACTACCTGGCTCCTCTCTGGATCCCTTTTAAAAATTGGTGCTACACTAGCTACTTCCAGTCTTCTGGGACAAGAGGCCAGTTTTAGTAAGAAACTGCATATGTTTTGTTTGGAGACCAGTAATTTCACTTTTGAATCCTTTAATAACCTTCAGGTGTGTGTCGTCCCTGGGTGCTCTGTCATCATCCAGTGACTTTGTGTTTTAATTAGTTCATTAACAAGCATGTGGGTAAGGATGAGCAGGTAGGTGTTATATGTTTGAACTTCCAAAAACCTTTTAACAAAGTCCCTCACCAGAGGCTTTTGAGCAATGTTACCAGTCATGGGATAAGAGGATATTACTTCTTTTAGATCAGTGACTGCAGGAAATACATGGTATAAGTAAATTGAGGAAGCAAGCAGTGGGATCCCCTATAGAGCTGTACTGGAACGATTGCTATTTAACTTAATAACGTGAACGGGAATTGGAGTGATCTTCTTTGCTACGGCATTTGAAAATGATATATATTTCTGATCACTCCCAGTTCCAGCAAAGGATATCACAGAGGAAGAAAATGGTGCAGTGGCCCCAGGGAGCGAAGAGGAGGCTCGGGGGAGCCAGGGGTGGGGCTCTCCAGGCCTCCCCCGAGCCGCAGCGCTCTCTTGCAGGCTCAAAGGACCCGGGGACGGGGCTCTCCCGGCCTCCCCCGAGCTGCAGCGCTCCTGCGCGGGCTCGGGGGACCCAGGTGCGTGGCGTGGGGGACCAGGGGGCGGGGCTTGCTGCTGCGCAGGCTGCCAGAGCAGCGCTCCGGAGGGCTCCGGGGCGAAAAGACCCCTGTATATGCCTATCTTGCATAATAACCCTGTTGTTAATGAGAAAATTGAATAAAACTGATTTGGAAAATTACTATAAGTCAGCTGTGACTTGATGGCGTTTTCCACCACCAGTGAAGTTGATGAGCAGTAGATTCAAGAGAGAAAAGAA